TGACCATCACAAGTTCAGAATCTAGTACTCTGAATGTCATTCAGAGCCATTCATATTTGATGGTAGCTGGCGTGGAGGTTTGGTTTTGAAAAAAGTTATTGCTCGGTGTAATTCATCTAGCATTTCATTGACAATGGAAATTAAAATTCTGTTGAGAACTGTTCTATTAAGGGCACAGCTATCAACACAGAAATGTCATTTTCCTCCTTGACAAGGATGGGTAGTTCGTTTGCATTCATTATTCCTAGTAATTTTTTCATAATGGTTCAAGCATGCCATGTTTGTCCATAATATCTGTTGGGGTTAATTTCCTCAGAGGCAATTAATGGGGCGGGTTATCTTTAGGCTTGCGATCAATAAACTTGTATTCTTTGAGCTTGGTCTATGGAAGTAAGTCGATGTGGACGAGTTTCCCTTCTAATTGCTAGTATTAAACCTGATTCAAAATACTGTTAATAACAATGTTAACGTGATTACAGGATTGATATGGTGTTAACTTGAGGGGGGATGTTAACGTGATTATAGGAAAGGAATCAATGACATTAATAGCATTGATATGGTGTTAATAACATTGATTCTATAGGCAGAAATTTAAGATGTAAATAGACAGATTTTTAGCTTTTAATTTATGTCTCTTTCCTATTCTAGTCTTAGGTTTCTTGTACAAATATCACACTCCTTTGTACAATTAGCAGGCAAGAGATGTAAATTCTCTTTTTCATTATTAATTAGAACAAGAGAGTGAGACAACGAGAGAAGTCGGCGCAGCTTTATAAGTTCGGTCAAAATATTCTAATGAGCTTATTTAAATAATCTTATAGCGAAGGTGGCATATAAGTAAAAATTAAAATTTTGATGTTAGATATGTAAATACATAAGCATTTAGTGATATATATATATATCCCCAAATTGATCACCACTTTCTACTTCATTTCCCTCATTTTCCATCCTACATAAGTGAGAACTTGAGTATTGCAATATGGAAAAGAAAAGAAGGCTGGCAACCAGGGTTGGGTGCAACTATGCCAACACGAGGAATGAGCTCCGGGGTTGTATCAATGATGTGGAAGCCATGAGCGACCTTCTTGTTCATTGGCTCGAATTCGATGCCAAAGATATAGTCATTCTTACTGATGAGGCAGGAGCACACGTGCTTTCCACCGGCGCTAATATTCGACAGGCGTTAAGGCGCATGATTGATCAGGCCAAGCCTGGTGATATCCTGCATTTTCACTCTAGCGGTCATGGGACACTCGTTCCATCTGACTTCAATCTCATAAATGGTAAAATCGGATACATATAAACGAAACCCATAATAGAATACCAATTGCTCAATCTATCTAATTTATAGCATTTACATACATAGCACTCAATCTATATACTTGTGTATACTTTTATGCCACCCAAATTTATCCAACAAATAGAATAAATACATAACATACACATGATTGATAACAGAGAAATCATTAGACGCATCCATTCAATTCCTCCCCCGAATTCTGCACTGGCAAACATCATGCACCAATCTCCTTTACTTCATCCATCATCAGAAACATCTTGTCAGCATTCTCATCACTGCAATACAAGCAAGGATGCTGCTGCTCAAATCCCTGCTGTCTAAGCAACTCCCTCGCCTTCATCACCACCTCCCTATAACTCATCTTCCTCTCCTCCCCTCTCATCACCATCTGCAACGCATTACTAAACGCACCATATGCCTTCCCCTCCGTTCCCTCCACCTCATCTGGACTCACGTCGGCCGACGTCTCGTTAGCTTGGCATCCACTGAGCAGAATACCGCCATCATTGTGCACCTCATCATGATCCATGTATGGGTGATGGAGAGTTGTTGTGGGCGGGACAAACTTGGGGCTGGCGTCGGAGCCGAAGAGGGTGGAGAGGTGGTCGGCTATATGTGGGGATGAGAGGCCGGAGATGGAGGAGAGGTGGCGGAGGATGGAGGAGAATGGTATGAATTTGGGCCGTTGATGCAGGAGGTTGGTGCTGCTTGATTCAAGGGAGGTGGAGGGACCGATCTGCTCCTTCTCGTTTTGGATTAGGCCGCCGGAGTGGCAGGAGTCGGAGATCATGGTGAAAGTTGCGCGGTCAGGGAGACGGTCAACTAGTTCGCGGAAGTCTACGTCTGCATATCATTTAATATGATTTAAATTAACTGATTATATATTAAAAATTTGGGTGGTATAAATGTAAAAACAAAAACTTAGGTGCTAGATACATAACTATATAAATTGAATGCTATGTATGTAAATGCCATAAATTACATTCGTTTATATGTATCAGATTTTACCGGTTATAAGATTGAAGTCGGATGGAACAATGGCCTCGTCGCGGTGGCGGGGACGGCCATGTTGCTGCTTCGCCGGCGGTATGAGCGTCCCATGACCACTATAGTGAAAAAGCAGGATATCGCCTGACTCGGCCTGATCAATCATACGCCTTAACGCCTGTCGAATATTAGCTCCGGTGGGAAGCACCTCGGCTCCTACCTCATCAGTAAGAATGACTATATCTTTGGCATTGAATCCGAGCCGATGAACGAGGAGATCCCTCATAGCCTTCACATCATTGATACAACCCCGGAGCTCATTCCTGGTGCTGGCATAGTTGCATCCAACCAAGGTTGCCAGCCTCCTTTTATTTTCCATATTGCAATCCTCAAGTTTCAATTATAGGATGGAAAATGAGGGAAATGAAAGTGAAAGTGGTGATCAATTTGGGGATATATATATCTATATATTCCAAAGCCAAAGTTGAAGATGTGTAATGAACTAACTCTATACTTTATAGCTTGATACACGGCATTAATGTTTTATTTACTTACATACCAACCCAGTTTCTATGTGTTTACATTAGGGCTGTCAAAACGGCTCGTTGTTCGCGAACAGCTCGTGTTCGGCTCGTTAAGAAGATCGTGTTCGGCTCGTTAATTTTGTTCG